AAAACTGCCCATTACTTAAACATTTTCATAGCATCACAATCTCTTCAAGCTTTTCTTTCTCGCATCTATTTTCTTCTTGTCAGCCTGCATTTTCAAGGGTGGCCCAGCAGCAGCTTCCTTCTTCACTGCTGCTGCAGCCACCCCGGAACCCCCGACTCCAGATTCTGTGGTTGGTGTTGCAGCATTTGACTGCTGCTCCTGCCCGCCTCTGACTGCGGTGTTAGAATGGGCAGTTGGACATGCCAATGGCAGTGCAGCAGCAGATGTGTTTTTGAGATCTGTATTTAGTGCAGATGCATTCGTTGGGTCAACATTGAGGGCAGTTGTCGATTCGGAGATGGCTCCGGTTTTGAACTTCGGTTTTGGCTTTGCATGGATTCCAGTATAAATCCTGGCAAAACCAAGAGAAAAATTTGCAACATGTTTGCTTACCAATCATCCAACTTTATCATTCATCATTATAATCATCTTTGAAGAGATGCGCAATTACAATTTACTAAAACATAAAGTTCTCATAGAACATAGTTACAGAGTGAGGTCGGGATGAATTGAATTTTGAAGGCAATAATGGTTGAGTGAAACAATTTTTCAATAAGCATTTCTACAGGTACAAGTAACTAATTACTTTTAACTATGTAACCAAATAGCACGAAAATTTTGAATCTTTAATGGGCTAAATCCCTTTTTTTACCAATCTCACTTTTATAGTTTAATCACATGGGGTTCACCAATAGAATCTATCTGAATAAACAATAATCATTCCAACATTTCACATCACCCAATATCATAAAACAGATAATATGGAGTGGGGGGGCCTGACTCACCTGGCATGTCTGGCATACTCATCGTAATTTTCAAGTAGCATCTTGCCAGCTTGTTCATTCAAAGCTGATTCTGGAAATGGCTCAATCAGTAGACATCTAACAACCTGTTCCATATAACACCCATCTTACTAAAGATTCTGAAGCAAAACATCTTCAACTGGACTTCTAAAACATAAGAAAACATGATGATGATGATTATGGCCACAAATTTGAAAGAGTATTTACAATTAGGACGTGCCGCAACCCGAGGCTCGGATTCCAATCCTTTTTCAAAGTGTTGACGCAAATCTCGCCATTGGTTGCAATGTTTGGATGAAAGATCTTAGTAAGGAAGTAACCTAATAAACAAATACGAAAGATAATGAGATGATAATATACCATTGAGGCCATCTAGGGAGAAGAATAAAAGACACGGGTGAATCGAGAAACCTTTTTCTGCCGTAAAATGAAAATCTATTTAATAATTAAGCTTATAAACACTATTTTCACCTATGTGTTTCTTTCTTTGTTATATAGTTTTTAAAAACATTTTCAAAATGCCATTTTTTTTAAAAAAAAAAAAGTGTAGTTTTCCAAAACTTGTTTTTGTTTTTGAAATTTGACTAAGAATTCAAAAATGCTTTTGAAATTCAAGAGAGGTGATAAACTTACTAATGAAAATGTACAAAAATAAGCTTAATTTTTAAGGATAGAAAACTAAAAATAAAATGGTTACCAAACGACACCTTAATTTATCAACTAACTATGAAGACTAGATCCCTAAGATAAACCTTGTCCATAAGATGAACTCAGCTATAGGCCAAAGTCATTAATGTCACAAATTGAATCCAATAATTATTAGACCAAACCTTTGGGAGGAGAACATGGGAAATCATGAGACAAAATCAACTTCATGCGGAAAAGGCCATTCTCATAAGGAGTCCCCGCTGCAAGGGCAACAATCATAATTCAGTATGAAAAGTAAACTCCTTGTCAAAGAAGAGATAAACTTCAGTGATAAAGTGATAAATGACATGCCTGGGCCTTCAATGTCAGCATATATTGTTGAGAAGTCATCATCGTTAACGCCTACTTTTATGCCTTCAGGTGGGGATTCATCAAGGCTCTTCAACTCCTTCGCAAGTTGCTTTATAACATTTGGTGGAAGATTTTCATTGGTGGCCTGACACAAATCAAGAGATGCACCGTTAATGGGGTGTGGCAGAGAACAAAATAATAAAAACCATTTCACATGCGACACAGCCAAGAACTAGGATATCAACACAAACGTTCTACATCATTGCATCATTGTTTGTGTCTTATTCTATACATCAAAGAAATTCATTAAACCCAGTAGGCAAACCAGAGGACAAAGATGTGAAAAATATACTTTCTTAATGCTTCTCTTACTCCCGTTCCCTTAAGCCAGCAAAAGAGGGAATTTCTATGCATTCTATGAGAAAAATACAGAGTTCTAGATCTTTTGGAGGTATGGTCTCTCAACTCCAAGATTAAGCCCCTTTTCATCTGCTCACGTGTATCCCTTCTTATTATCTTTCTTCCCCAACAGACTTCCATGCTCAAGAAATCTAACTGTTCACAATAACTAATCAACTAAATCATTGATAGAACTGCATTCCTCTGTGCACAAGCAAACTTTCTGGGAGGTAAAGGAGGCATATCGATTGGTTTGCATCAACACTGTTATTCCATAAAGCACAAGCACACAACAACAATATATATATATATATATATATAATGTGTGAAAGACATAGGCAAATAATTTACCATATCCAATGGAAAAACAAAGGCACTTCTTCGCTGCTGCTAAAGCGAATAACTTATTCAGCAATCAACAGAAACTGAGCCCCAAAATTTGAACTTTCTGAGTGTAAGCAATCCAGCAGCAGAAAATAACCTGCATATGATATTGGAAGTTAATGGGCAAAATAAAGTACAGCTTGGGAAATGGCTAAAACATAAGAAAGCGGCATCTGCACTAAATTCATGTTGCTTTGGAAAAGGATAATAAATAACTGTAGGGCAGGGAAACATTGAACCTTTGGCTAATCCTAAACAAACAGTACAATAACCAAAGATAAATTAGACACGTGCCAGAGTTGATACGATAAAATCAATGGAATGTTTATTCAAGCTCTCAACAAGTTTGTGCCCTTTTATAAGGGAAATATATGTTTCATGACCAGAGTCATCTGGTCATCTCTAATACTACAATGCAGTACGGATGCATACGATGGAGGAAAAAAAGGACACTGAAGAGTTGGCTGAACAAGTATATACTATATAAGGGATCCACAAAACTGACTTGATCATAATCTTCTGCATATATGATGTCTAAATTCAGAAGATCTTGCTACTGTTATGCCTCGGCATACTAAATCCATCCCACTCAGGAAACATAAAACAACAATAAGTAGGTAGTATGTTGCCACGGATACCAAAATCTGATTTGCTATTCATTACATCATTCAAGTGACGTGTTAAGAAGCTAAAAAATAAATATAAAAAGAAAAAACCTCAAACGGGTAGAGTAAATGCTAGTTATAGGTCGTAACTAGTTCAGAAGATGAAGAGAAGAGATGACAACTAAGATTGACATCCGTAATTTAGGATTACAACTTAGACATCGACACTTTCTTATAGAATAACCACAGATATTTAGCAATTAGCAGTGTGAAGGCTTAATGTCTGATGTGATCTAATATGAATAATGGTTGGTTTTTAAGACTCTAAAATAAAAATAAATAAATAAAATCATCAATAGCTTCCTCATTTCCAGGTCCTTAAGCTTTAAATGATCTGTAATCTGGATGGTATGCATAATTTCACAAGGGTTGCACTTCCAGAGTGAAGAAGAACAGAAGGAATATTGTCACATCACAACCGAACAAACTTAGAAATGAATAATAACCGACTGATTTGCCTAAAAAAAACTGCACAATTTTTAAGGGTTTAAAGTTAAGACGTGATGCAAGAATATCCCAATACATCTCCAAAATCAAAATCACGCAAAGGCATTTTATGTCAAAACACTGCGTTGCTAAAACCCCAAAAGAGAAGTCTCTCAATGGCAAAATATCATCAGAACTTCGCACATGTACCAGATGCCTCGACTTCTTAATCCATACAAATAAAGAGAAAGAAGTGCGCCATTCGCTAAGGCTAACTTTTAACGCTTAAACTTCAGCATCGGAAGAGAAAACCTTGCAGAAACAAACGTTCCAAACAACGGCAAGAACAACCAAGAAAAACCCTAATTTCCCCAGAATCACCCATTCCCATTTGCACATTCACTCTAAAGTGAGAAGAACAACAAATGCATCTCCCATCCGAAAAGAATCAAGCAATTAGCAACTGAAGAGATCGAAAACTGCCCGATCGAACTGAGATTGACAGCGGAAACATCATTCACAGTCACAAAAAGCAAAACAAAACTACCCCAGAGACGAATCAACAAGTCAGATGAGAAAATACCACCTCTGAAGAATCTTCGCGGCTCCTTTTTCCCGTTCTCAGGAACCAAACAGAGAGATTGAAGAAGAAGAAAGAGTGTAAACAGAGGCGAAGAGAGTTGAGAGAGAACAAAGCTTTCCTTTGAAATGATTGATTGATCAATTGATTGGCGATTTAGAGAGGAGCGTTTGAAATATTTATTTATTCAATAAAAATTATAAATAAATTGTTGTTGGAAATAAAATAATTTATTTTTCCAGAAAGAAACACGTGTCACTGTAAATTTTTTCCCTACTAATTTAGCCCCCTAAAACTTTGATAATTGCGTTTAATGCCCCTATTGTGTTTTTAGTTTCTTTTTTTTTTTAATTTTACTTTAGATTTCTTTGTTTTTGTTATAATGTTACCTACTTTACTTAGATTGAAAACTTAAAAAAAACTAGTTTAATTTTTTTTAATTTAGTTAATAATTTAAATGTATTTTTAAGATAGGTGAAAATAACATCAAGTAAACTGTGAGGGAAAAAAATATAATTTTTTTAAAATAAATCGTTGTTAGAAATATGTTTCTTTTAACGAAATTTAAAAATTAACTTGAATATGAATATAATTCAACTAGTTTTTAGAAAAGTAATTCAGATGAATAGTCATAGTTCATCTGATTGAGACAAATATGTATTTAAAAAACAATGTTGATACAAGAGAATTATTTAAAATTTAAAAAGTTTAATAAATTAGAATTGCACAATAATCAAAATTTTTAGATCGGACTTACAATTAACCAAAAGAAAATAAATGAGGATAAAGATAATTAAAAGGAAAAAACTATGGTGAAAAAAAAAATACTGAAACTTGATAAAGTAAAAAAAATGGTAGAAAGTAAAATAAGTGATAAAAAGGAAAGGCTTTATTTCGGTCGTTTGGATTAAAAAAAACTCTTTATCAAATATTAGAAATATTTCAATTTAGTAGTTCAATTTTATATTTATTTAATTTTTGTATTCAATGAAGTCATTATAGCCAACTTAGTTAATATTATTGATATAAATGTAGAAGTAACCTAAACATGAGATTGTTACTCAGCATYTTTGCAGTTTGCCATGTACCTTCCTTAGATTTTTCATTCACACAATCCCATGACATCTCATGGAAAATTCTTTTTCTCCGCTTAGACCTATCCAGTCTAGGGATATTTTAGTGATAGGTTCTATAAGAATGGGACGATCCTATTTGGTCAAATACCTAGCAACAAACTACCTCTTCTCTTGGAAAAAGAAGTTCACAACCCTTAAGCCTTCTACCTCTTAAGCTTTTCGGCCATTGCAGAAAAGTAAACATATTTATTTCTGGTTCTAGACCAATAGTTCTAGCGGTCGACTCACTTCTTTCAAATTGTTTCTCATTATTAAGAAAAGGTAACAAAGTATGAGAAGTTGAGTAGATGGATTGGTCTGAGTGGAGGGAAAAAAAGGATTGAACTCAAAATATTTTGAGATATATATTTTCCTAGAGAGATGGATAAGATATCCCGACATCAAATCGGACAGATCTTTACTTAGAGTAGAGCATAAACCTATGAGTAAAGTTTTTGTTAGTTATAGCTTTCAACTAAATAGTTATCGTGAATGTAGGATTTTAGACAAGATTATGAATCGACTACAGGTCTGAAGTAGTGTCCAATCAACTAATGTAAAAACCTACGAATAAAATCTTGTAAAAGTATATTACTTATCTATGTACTTCCAAACTAGTATATAATCGAACTTAGTTAAATTGGATAGAAATTATGTCCAATTAAACTCAGTTAAATTGCATAAAAATTATGTAGCTTCGATGAAGGAAAAAAAAAGGAGGCAACGGTCAAAGTTTGCCGACAAATACAAATCAGAGGTGAGCTGGCAAATCCGAATCTCAGCAAAAACTAGCCGTTGCTGACGCAGCTTTTCTATCGCATCAAGGACGGTCTCTCACTTATTGTACTTACCTATTCGTCGTCGTTTTGTTATTTTCAAAAAGAAGAAAAAATAGGCATCGTTGTGGTGTGCCTAAACAATTAAATATTTCTTTTGGAATTCCTAAATAATTAAATATTGGTGCCTAATGCAAATTTTAATATATATTTTTTTATGGAAATGTTTACCGACCAACGTTTTTTTTTAAGAAATAATATGTTTTTTTTAATATTAGCGTTACTAATTTTTTAACTACTTTATTTTATTTAACAATGTGAGAGTGCGACGATAAATCCATTTTTTTTAGTGTAATACATGAAATATAGGTAATGGTTTGACAAATTGAACTATGTTTAGATTGTTTAACATATATATAATGTCTACTATTTCAAAAACTAAAAATGTATAATGTATTAACTCATTATACTTGCGATTTTTTTTGCGATTTTTTTTCTTAATGAAGATACATTAAAATTAAAGTAGTAAAATATTATATATATATATATATATATAGATAGAGTAACGACATAAGCCTTAATTCTTAAGTCCAAATCGATTGTAGTGTAGAAAATTTGACCTCCTTAACTTGAGCAAGAGCTCAAAAATTTTGTCAAACCGAACATACCTCAAATGGTTAAGGCATCTATCTCTGACCAAGAGACATCTATCTCAAATTGTGATAGAAAAAATGAGATTAAAAATAAAATTAAGGGATTAAAATAATTATTTTTTTATTAATACAGGGACCAAAACAAATATTTTGAATTATAGGAACTAAAATGAACCAAAATTGAAAATACAATGACCAAAATGAACATTTTGAGAGTATAGGGACCAAAATGAACTAAAGTAAGAAATATATATTAATATTCATGGGTTCATCTCAAAACCAATTGACAATATAGAGACCATAATAGTATTTTAACATGTATAAAATGCTACTAATTTTTATGATGGATTTTGTCAAAATGCATGTAACCGTCCCAAGTATAAATAAATGAGTTTGTTTGATCATAAAAATGACCAACTTTGCGAAGCTTGAACTCGAGTAGCCGACGAATGCTCAAAATCTGTATAGAGAGAGAAAAGGCGTTCTAACGCTCAAGTTAATTAGTCAAAGTCCAATTCATTATTTAGAAAGAGAATAGTCTCGCATACCTAAGAAGTGAAGCGGAACTCCATATTTATATGTTTTAGCTCGTCGACATTGCTTACCGAACGATTACGACCATCTTGGAAATCGCAGCGTATTGTCGGAAAAGCAGTTCAAGACAACGACACTCGGTGCTTCGATCACTGGCTCGACCTTTATGAAGGTCTGTCATTGAGATCCTTGTTGGTCGGCTGGACCTTTATGAAAGCACGTACCACCAATGATATCCTAAAGAATAATAATAAAATATTGTAGTAACCTGGGAAATATAGAAAAAGTACAATAGCAAAATGAGGGTAGAAAAATATTTATTATAGCAACCTGGTGGTAAAATAGTATTTACTGTAGTAAACTCGAATTTATAAAATTGTGAAAGAAACCTGGTTTGACTTAACTAACCCTTTCTCAAAACAATGAACTAAAGGTTGTTAGTTCTAAACCTTAAATTAATGCCAAATAAATTTTGCAATCCCCATAGATAATTTAATTAATCCATTGAAAAAAAGAAAAAAAAAAACTCCTGGCTAACTAAAATAGTTTTGTATTATTTTATTACATTACTTTTATTAAAATTAAAATAATGTTCATGTTCTAGAATTAAAATGATGCTAAATTCAAAATATTTCTTAAAATCTCAAATATTAATACAACTCCAAAACGTTAATATCTCTTGATATACGATTACAGCTTCATAAAAGAGAGTTGCAGCCTACCATCTAACTTAAGACGGTGACGTTACGTAGAATCTTGATGGGATAAGAAAACCCTAACCTATTGTATTTGAGAATTCTTATAGTTATACAAATCCCTAGATCACAAAGGCTAATTATACTACTTGACTTCCTTAATGTAACTAGAGTTTAACTTGACTTCCTCATAAATGAAGTTCGAGTGCATTTAATGTAACTCCATTTTGTTATCTATTTGGACATAGAATAAATCTCGACGTCTTCCTTAAAACCTTGTGGCATGAATAAGGCACTTTGGTCCATATCATCTGGTATCAGTTCATATCATCATGTATTAATTTGACCATGCAAATTAAAAATACCATTTTTCGATTAAGGAGATGTAATTACAATAAGTTTGCTTTGATTTTGATTGAGATGCTTGTATTTCTTTTGATTTGATTTGAGTTATTCCCGTATTATTGAAATGATTATTCTACTCATAAATGACGTAAGTTCCTAGAAATTCTTGCTTATTTGTTCTCTTGGCGTCGAAGAGATGTGAAACTTTTTTTTTTTAGAATAGTGACAATGGGCCAATAGGGTGCGGTGCATCATTTTTGTTACATTACTAACCATTTGAAACGTTGTTTTTTCCTCAAAACATCATTTTTAAAAATCAAATGGATTTGGTCTAACTTATATATGTGAGGTAAGTAACGATAAAAAAAGATTACCTAATAACATATTATCACACAATTGCCAATAGCAGACTTCTCACATTATAAGTCGACAACCTAGTTGTGGTTGTCCCAACATTCATAAATTCACTCACTTATGATGTCTTAAGTCACAATTGAAATGAACTCCCTGAAAAAACTGTGTCGAGTATGACATGATCCTGCCAAAAGTTTAGAACCAATAATAATTATAGTACATTTTCTCTCCTATAAATATGATAATGGAAAAAAATACAAATAAGCGCTCTATTATATATACACACACATATCGAATATTAATCTCACGACTTAAATTGACTTAAGCGTTCAAAAATTTGGAGCAACTAAACAAGAATTTTGCCAACCAAAAGGCAAAAACATATGACCAAATGCAAGACGACAACGCAACCTTAAGCAACCAACAACCAAAGGCAAATAAAGTAAAACCACTTGTCGTATGGTACGCCCCCAACAACCAAGTCACGGGTCGGGTCCGGTCCTAAAACGGGTCGGATTGTTCGATCTTCGTCTGGTTGACACCACACGATCCGGCTTTTACTTTTACACTTTTGGAGAAGAGAGAGAGAGAGAGTTTGGAAGTGGAAATTCGCGTCGTCGTTGGATGGTGGCCGAGAAGTGAGGGAAGAAATAGCAGAGAGAATTCGCCGGGATCGCACTCGGAGACAAGACTGAATCAATCGGCGTTTTAGATTTTAGATTTTTGATTTGAATTTGTGGGGGTTCCTGGTCAATGGTCTTGGACTCCCAACTTCATATATCTTCAATGGAAGGTCAGATTTCTCTCCCTAACTCCGAAATTGTCTCTCTATTTTATCGGTCGCTGCCGGAATTTTCTCCGGCGGTCGTGGCGGCGAGTGAGGAGTACTGGGTTTTCGTAGTTCTCTCTCTGTTTTTGTTACTTCTTTAGAAAAGTTCTCGTTGACGAACTTGGTATTTTTGAATTTTGGAAGAGAATTGAGATAAAAATTGCGGGTGTTTCTCTGTGATAGATGCTTTAGGGTTTTTGGGTTGGCTTGTTTCTGTTCACAATTTCAATTATGAAGTCTTGTTGAATTGTGATTCATAATTATGTCATGTTTGGTGATTGTTGGTGTGATGTTACTGATTCTAGTTGGAATAATTGGAGGTGAAATTAATTGACTGCTGCGAATTTCATCTGTTGGTCCCTTCTTATACGAAAACTTTCCTTTCCAATCTTTTTACAACCGGAGCTTTGCTCTCCTGTATCCCCGCTCCCCGTCCCGTCTGAAGGCATGAACTCGAGAGACATCAAGGATTTTTGATATTAAGCTTAGAAGATTCGTACTTGAGACCTCTAGACCAAGAGACCCAAGCCCTTGCAAACCGGATTGCTCCCAACTTTTCTTCCGCATTGCAATTTGCTTACTGATTACTTAAGTGGAGTGACAATATGCTGAAGCCAGTGTGTCTTAGGGGAATGCCGAGTGCTTTTTGCTGTCTGAGTATACTTTTTTCGCATCGAGTTAATCACGGGGATTTATGTTCCTACTACGGGCACTCTTATCTCTGCTTGTGGGTGCCGATAGAATTATGAGCCACATGTAACTCATGAAACACAGTTTAAGATTACAAGTGATATTTTGGAATCTCTAACTAAAGAATGTAATGGCAATTGTATATGGGAAGGAACTGTATGAATAGTTTTTTGTTTGAATCGAAAAGCTAGCTTTTATTGAGAAAACTAAAGGAACTAACTGTATGAATAAGTATATTTCTTGTCTCTTCGGAGACATCTGATGAATAAGTAGGCTTCTTGTGTGACTGATTTTCAAAATAGGAGGAGTTGTGTGATTCTATTTCATGTGATAAGAGCTGGATTATTGTATTTCTTGATATTTTACCGTTTACTATTTTAACTTAAGATGAAACTTTACATGGTATATTCACAAGGTATTTGTGTATCTATTTTTAATTGAAGGAATTAAACAAAGCTTAAGGTTATTTGTTACAATCGACTTTCTTATATTCATGCTGAAGTTTTAGTTTTTTGGTAAGTATTTGAAGTCGTGTTTCTGTCAGCATTAACTATACTATATTAGACAAATAGTAAAACTTTGACAAATTAATTGTTAAAATTGAATTTTCTGCTAGCTAGTTCTATTTTAAAAAATTTCAAATTTGAAACTTATTCTGAGAATTCCAGGTTATGTTTTAGGGTGAGAGAGAGAAGTGTAACTGTAGGCAGTGAATGAGCTTTAGGTGCACCATTATACTAGTTAAAGCTTAGGTGACGATGTTGTAATCGCTGAAATTTATAAAAAGTATTTTTTTTAATAGGAAAATTTATAAAATGTTTTGATTACCAGCTTGAGGCTAATCAATCAACATCCTCTAACAGGTGTATCACCAGACCAGGAATCAGTGGGTTCTGGGACAAAAAGATCCAGTGTATCATCTGGAAGTAAGTCTCGAAACCGGAGGGAGTTTCTCAACAAATTTTTGGACAGTGAAATCTTTACAGCCAAACTTGAGGATTGGTTTGAAGAAGTATCGGAGAGTTCTAGAACCAAAAGGTCTGTTTTTGATGTTCCTTTTGAGTTGATAGATCTACAGAAGTTTGACTATGCACTAGAAGGGATTTCATTTCAGCAGCTGATTCGTATGCCCGGAGCTATTTATGCTTCTGCTTCTGAGGGCATGGAAGCAACTGCTTATATTGCAATTGAGGATTTTCTTCATGCAAGTGTGAAGGGGTTGTGGGAGGCATTTTGGAGTCAAGATCAGCCCATGCCTTTCACTGTTGGCTGCTTATACAAAGATAATTTAAAATTTTACCAGGCTGAGAAGGCAATTGCTACTGGGAAGCTGGAAGGTCTTTCAGCCACTGGCATACTGCTGAAGAACCCTCGACATCCCCATGGGAAGTGGGACCAAATTCTCACGCTTGCTTTACTGAGTCCTGATATTGGAAACCTTGCTACGGATCGTGATAGCTATCCTTCTCCGTCTGTTTTAGGTGAGGTCCTTTTTTATGCTGTCCGAATGCTATTGTCGAGAAGCTTGAGCAAATCAAACTATTCGCAAGGTTCGATCTCAGCCTTTGTTCTTCTTGTCGATTCTCAATATGGAGGAGTTATTAAGGTTGAAGGAGATTTAAGTAGATTGGAGTTTGATTTGAATAATGTATATGAATGTGCTGCTGAATGGATAAAAGGATATGCTACAATATCAATCTCTCCTATCGATAGGATTTGGAACGAGCTTGGAAATGCAAACTGGGGAGATATCGGGGCATTACAAGTACTTTTTGCAACGTTCCATTCTATTATTCAATTTGCTGGAGTCCCCAAACACTCGATTGAGGATCTAGCTGCCGATCATAGCTCTCGTTTGCAAACGAGAAGAGTTGAGAGGCAGTTGGGAGATGTTAGAGTGAATGGGAATGGTATGTTTAGGTTCCAGCAGCAAAGTGTTTCCCCTGAAATCGTTGAAGTTCAGGAAGATTCTATCAAAGTTAAGTCCGAAGAGATAGTAAAGTTGGAAGTAGGATCCGTACTGTGGTTAGAGGATTCAAACTGGCAAAAGGGTTATCAGATTAATGAACTCTTGACTTCCAGTGAGCTTCAATTTTATATTGCTTCTCCAATCGAAGAACCTGGGAAGAGTCTGTTTCTTTATGTTGGGTCTCGAATTTCCCAGCTAGAAGCATGGGAAGATATGAACTTGTGGTATCAAGTGCAGAGGCAAACTAAGGTTTTGACTGTAATGAAACAGAAAGGTCTATCTAGCAAGTACCTACCTCAGTTGAGTGCATCTGGCAGGATCATTCATCCCGGTCAGTGTCGTAGACCCAGCTCGGGTGGCAACTGTGATCACCCATGGTGTGGTACACCTATTCTTGTGACCAGCCCAGTTGGTGAAACTGTAGCTGACATGGTAAATGGTGGTAGATTTAATTCTGAAGAAGCAATAAGGTGTTGCCATGATTGCTTGTCTGCACTTTCAACTGCTGCTTCAGCTGGAATTCGACATGGTGACATCAGGCCAGAGAATGTGATTTGTGTGAGATCTGGTGTGAGACGGCCTTATTTTGTTCTTATAGGCTGGGGACATGCGATTCTCGAAGACAGGGACCGTCCTGCTTTGAATCTTCACTTCTCATCCACTCTTGCTCTACAGGAGGGGAAACTCTGCTCTGCCTCAGATGCAGAGAGCCTAGTTTATATGCTTTATTATGCCACTGGTGGTGGCTTTCCTGATTTGGATTCTGTCGAGGGAGCGCTACTGTGGAGAGAGACCTCTTGGTCAAGGAGGTTAATTCAGCAGAAGCTCGGTGACATGTCGACGGTACTGAAAGCATTTTCGGACTATGTCGATAGTCTATGCGGAACACCATATCCAATGGACTATGAGATATGGTTAAGAAGGTTGAGGAGAAACATTCACGATGAAGATCCTGGGAAGGAAGTCGATACATCAGGCTAGGCTAGGTCTCTTTTGTTAGCTATGTTGTATAGAAGTGCTACTCTGTTATCTGACAACATCTATTCCCAACTGGGAGTATGCAATTTTGGTTGGAGAAGACTCGACGTAGCAGGTAAGTTCATCGGCTCATACAACATCGGTGAAGTTCGAATTTTTGAACTCAATACTGGTTAGTACATAGGAGGGGTTTCGTTTCTGCATGAATCAGCTTGGCATAATCGTTTGTTTTCGAGTCCAAGGCCCTGTTCAAATATCTTCTTTCAAGTGTGTTGGATGGATTCACACCTTGACATGGTTACACTATGTTCATGGACCGTGGAAAGGATATTGCTTTAGAATCTCGATACACCTAACAAGATACCGCTGCTCGTCCTTAAGCATCGGTTGATATGGGCAGACACGGTTACTATTGTCGACACTGATCTGCGAGTAAGGTAGATGCATGATGTTCTATGTAATTGCTTAGGTGAATAGGATTAAGTAGCATTGAAGTTGGTGTGAAGGGTACATTTTTGTAAATGTGTTAGTTTTTTGGGTGTCACATGGGGTTTGTGATTAAGTTGATTGAAGTTGGAAGTGTATTTATTTGGTCATTGGGTAATTTCTCCTTTCAGTAGTCAGAACTTATGAGGAGGGTAGAGTTGGAAATTGATGTTGTTGAAGATGAAGATTATATATAACATTCAAAAGGAACATGTAAGTTTTCTATATGGATAGGCTTCATTGGACTTCCTGTTTATGCTCTATACTTATAGTGTAATTAATATAAGCTACCAAATATGAGTATAGTTCAGCCATGGTATCTACTCCTTTTTTTTAGGTCGAAAGTTCAAATCTCCATATCCCAAATTTGTTACCAAATATTTGCTCTTTTTCTACGAGACTTCATTTTTATCACAAGTACCAAAACAGTTTCAAATGAAAACTTTTATTTTGGTCTCTATACCAAATTCTATTCATTTCAGTCTCTCTACTTTCGAAACATTTGTTTTGGATCATGTATTTTTAAAAAGGGATCATTTTTGTCCATTTATTTTCATTTTTATCTCATTACTTTTGATAAAAAATTTAGAAATTGTTTGAAATGTAGCCATAAATTTGTATTTAAAATAAACAAAAATCAACTGTGGACAATTTGAAAATATAACAATAAAAATAAACTAAAATCAAAAGTATAAGACCAAAATAGTATTTTAAACGTGTATTTTAAAAGCCATAAAAAGTAAAATTTAAAAGCCTAAATTCAAGTAAATGATAAAGATAAACAAATTGGTTACCTAAAAGTTAACAAATTCAAATGGTCCTTAGAGTTTTAGTTGATATCCAATTTATTTCCTATAGTTTCAAAAGTTTCAATTTGATCCATATAACTCGAGCTTAATCTCAATTTGATCTAAAGTTGAGTTTCAAAGAAAACAAATGAAAATGAGCAGATTTCTCAAGTAGACGAAAAAACAGTTTACGAATGATTCACGATGTTTAACCAAACTATAGGAACTTCAACGGAACAACGAAATAAGCCCAAATCATAGAAACCAAACCCCAAATAAGTTGAATAACGCCCCCTGCAACAGTTGCAGCATTTGCAAATCATGACTCCTGATCATATTGAAAATTCAATTGGAGCAGGTGGAAATTGAAGAGGGAAAAAAAATCCCAATTTGATTTAAGAACAGTCAACAAAGCAGTATGAAAATCACATTAAAAGTTTCAGTTCCTGAATCCTAGGGAAAAATTCATACAGGATGCTCAAATCAGACACTTGAAACTAAATAAAGCAATTGCAATTTGCAGCACAGTGATAACACCTATAGATATCCAACTTCCTTAATCAGCATCCATCTCTTCCAGGGCAGCTTTAGCTGCTGCCTTTGCTTCCTCAAGAAGATCATCCGGAACCTGAAGATGGTAAGAGCATGTCAAGAAAATAAAATGGCAACAGCATCAGAGAAGCAAGGCCCGGATTCGAGATTTGGGAAGCATCTCGGGGCAACAATGAATTAGGTATACTTGCTACTTTTTTTTTATAACTGGGAGTCGGTTTGCTCCCCTATACCCAGGGGCACTCGCCCCCACCCCAACGCCCGGACCCTAGAGACATCAAATATTTCTGATATTACGCTCACCTTTAAGCTAGTATGACCAAGAGACACCAAGTCCCTGCCAATCAAGTTGCCCCTCGGGAGCTTAGGTATACTTGCTATTACTATAGCCTTGGAGTTGGTTAATACTACAATTGCTTATTGCAGGGTGGAAGTCTTTCCATTCTAAAAATTTAGGAGTTGTGTGGAAAACTACAAAATCTTTCAATATTTTACGTATTATTATCGCCTTACAAAAAGCTAAGAGAGGGGCATCTCCCAGAATAACTGGGAGTC